ACGTCAATATTTGAGGAGGTCGGAGTTAGGAGAAACGCCTAATAATAACAGGAATGTCAGTCCTAGCTTAGTAGCTAAAAAAACGGCCATATAGGTCATCTTTGCAAGCTTAGTACGACCCATATTCCATATATGCAGAGACCTCTCGTAGCTGTAGTAATTACAGCGAGAGCAAAGGAGCAAGTCAGGTAACGTAGCATAAAGAGCAACACAGTCCATGTAAGGAAGAACTTAGAGTGAACATATTGGTCAAACAAACAGGACTTTCACCCAGTTCATCAGTGTTTGTGTCCTGTATGAAACCAAAAGTTAAAAGTTACTTATTGTAACCTAAACTATGATTTTCTTTGTAAAACTAACCACTTAGTTTTGTTAAGGTAGCAAAAACTGCGACCGTGAGTGCATGCACCTGTCGCTGGTACTCACCAACGGTCAAATATGTTGTTGTGGGAGTCAAAGGTATTCTGTTGTTTAAGTATGAGGACATCTTGAACTTAGAGTTAAAGGCAGTCAGATGACTCCTAAATCACTGAAACCTGCTCATAGTCAGTTGAATGCTGCAGGTAATTTGCCTGAGAATTGATTTAAAGTGCTGTAGATGTCCAATATACAAAATAAAGCATAATTCTGAAACAGTACGGCCTATTTTTAGCCTAGAATGTTTCCAGAAACTAATTTATGCTGCCCTGTTGGCTGCCATTGGTCTTTTCTGTAGCAAAGACTTATGAGACCCCAGAGTGTGTGGTGCATTTGTCCACCCAGGGGAAGAAAGAGTTCAGGTTGATGTCTAAGTAAAGTAGTACAATGCCAGAATGTCACAGCCTATTGAAGTAACACTTGTGCCAAGCAAATGCCTCTTGAGCTTTGCCAGACCACTTTTAGCAAAGTGGAAATAGTGAGCTATTCTCTGCACGGCTGAGCCAACATACTGATGATGCCTGAGTATTGTCACTTGTCTGCAGATGCCTGGATCTGAATGAATGCAGACATCTGTTAAGATTCTGGGTGATTAAATCCTTCCAAAAAAAAAAAATCAGACCTTACATCTCCCACTGTTAGCTGTCACCAGACGTATTGCCTTAATTTGATTTTTAAAATTTTATCTTTTTGACAACTCAGGCAACAAATAGGAAGTGAAAACTGAGGAAAAAGTGAGACAGGAAAAAAAAAGGATTACTAAGCAGCCCAAAGAGGTATTTAAAGATTGATGGATGGAGAGGATCTTGGGAAAAGAAAGACAGTAAATTAAAAATGTCACATTACAACTGTGGTTTTCAGTGGAGTGTGCAGCGTGTTGTTCACTGTACAGTCGTCTTTACAATGAACCCAGATTAGCCCCATTAATCCCCTGCTGCCCCTCGGCATGTGTGTTACTGAACATTGTGCCCATACAAAGCCACTCATTCACACACACGCTCACAAAAGCACACACACACATACATGTATACACACACTTGTTCTGAGCCAGCAAGTGCAGAGGAAGTCTCAGCCCCGAGGCGATGGCTTTTCTAAAAGGAGGGAAGGAGCAGCGAGTGAAATCAGTGCGATTTTGCTAATGAAGCCTGATGAACAGCTACTCTTATTCCACTCTTTTACCCGCCTCACACTCTCACTCACTTTCTCCCTGTTTCACTCCACTCCCTTTTTCTCTGTCGCTGAATACATTTGGGCTAATTGTCTGATTGAAGCTGATTGAAGCTCTCACAGGCTTCTCAGCAGTGCTGCTGCTTAGAGAGAGAACACTGCAGCGTTTCAGTGCTGCTCCGCTGCTTAATATGCGTTGATAGAAGAAGTACAACCTTAAAAAACCTTGTCTCACAGGCAGTGCATTAATTACCAAAAGGTCTGTATTTACGAGTAAACATGAAGTTTTTAAAAGAAGATTCCTTACTCGATATCATCATAACTTTTCTTTTCTCTGTCATCATCTCTCTGCGCCGACTGAAATGGATTTAATAGGTGAACTTAAGAAGAGATTATCCTGTTAGCTTTTACATAATGGGTCAATTTTGTTAAAAGAACAATATTTTGAACAGTCAGTTTTGGCGGTAGCTTTAGCTTTGTTTGACAAGCTGCTAATTGCATTGTGTGTAATGAGACAGTTGAGTTGCCTTGAAGGACAGGTAGACAGGCCTAAGTGTCCAACAAGCCTCAGTTGTGATTAGTTGAAATTTTAATTTCCAATATTATATATCAAACATTTGCATATTGGCAATATTAAAAAGCTAGTAGCACAAAGAAGGCGGTAAATACTAACACTAAATATGACATACACAGTCACAATTCTACCTCAGTCAAACACACACACACACACACACTATTGGACTCTTTACTTACCTTTATAATGCACGGGCCTATGGTATTATAATGCATATAACTTTTAAATGTCATTAACTTAATTTCTTACTTTGTTGTATTCATTATTTATTTGTTCTTTATTTGTTTCCCAGTGCTATAACATGCAAGTTATATGTTACCTGTTTAGTAATCATGATCATAATTACAATCCTTATGGAATTACTCCATCAACTAAAATTCCAGGATGAAAACATAAGTAACACAAGTAGTCATGTAACCATATCTGATATTGAATAACCTGCAATGGGCACAATATATAACATTCAAAATATGATGTCATGGTAAACCTGCAAAAACAGATTTTTTTGAAGAGCAAGTGAACACAAAGTTGACATGTCATCAACTTTTAAGTTGATTTGGTAAACGTGTAATCGACAGTTGCTTATTTACTCATTTGGAGTCTAGTTTTAGTCCACCTGATGAATGTAAACCCCATGTTAACTCTCTTTTAGCTCTGTTTTTGGTCTCTACCAACTAACTCGCTAACTGTGTCTGTCCATTGTTTGGTGTTGAGCAAGTTGTAGGGTTTTAGAGCCTTTTAACAAAAAAAGCTACCTGCTGTGGCTGAAAACAACATCATGATAGCAGTAACAGTGAACCAAAGCAGTAAATATGTGGGCTGAACAGCCAAACAATGAGCTGAAACTACAGAGCCCTGTTAAGCTGACGGAAACTGCAGATTCTGACGCTGTTTCGCTGTAGGTTACAGGGATAGTTCATGCCAAAATCAGAAATACATATTTTTCCTCTTACCTGTAGTCCTATTCTATATCTAGTCAGTCTAGACTGTTTTGATGTGAGTTGCTGAGTTGAGGATTTCAGCCATAGAGATGTCTGCCTTCTCCTAAATATATGAAATTAGATGGCAATCTATCTAATCTATCATCTTTACCAGACTACACCTGCTAACCGTATCACTGTGCAGAGTGCAGCTTTCATCTACTGCTAGCTTGCCTAGCACCACTGAGCTAGCTAATGCTACAGCTCGGCTGAGGAAGATGCCATTATTGTTTACATCCGCTTGTCCATGAGTAGATGCACACTTCCTTCTGTGCAGTGATACAGTTGGTGGGTGTAGTTCTGTGGAAAGAAAGTAGTTCCTGCATGAAACTGCTCACAACAACACAGGTCTGTGGATTATTTTGAGTAACCAGGTCATGATTTCTGGAAAGAAACATTGCTGCTGAGTTTTCAAATGCAATTCTTTGGTGGTTTGAGCACCACAAGCTGAGCTCCATCTAGTTTCATTATATTCAAGAGAAGGCAGACATCTCTATGGCCGATATCTTGAACTCGGCAACTCACACCAAAGCAATGTAGATTGATAAATAGTCCTACAGGTAAGAGGATAGTTTTTGATTTTGGTTTGAAATTATCCTTTAACCACTACAAGCAACCCCTGACACGTTGTAACATTGTTTCACTTTGTCTTTTGATACAGTATTGTTACAGAAATATCAGTGGACCCTATAATTATCTAGTTCTGTTTCATGATACTGCATAAACCAAAAACCTCTTTGAAACACAGTTTTGTTTTGACACCAGTTTGCCCCAGAGGAGATAGTTAAGTGACTGCTAATTGAATTTTAATTGAAACATCTGCCAGCGTGCAATTTAAAAAAATATATGCCTCCATGAGCGGAGCTGGGACAAACAGGAACACAATAACATCAGAAAACACAACTCCCAAAAAAAATGCCTCTTATACTGTATCATTAATGCGTGAAATGAAATTCCGGTGCTATTTACAGCATAATTTCCTCATTAAGAAAATGGTTTTGCCTCAAACCAGCAGAAAAACTTCAGGATATTTGAAGTGAAGTGTTTATTTCCATGCAGCCGTATTGAGTGAAGCATTATAAATCACTCTGTAAACTTCTAATGTTCTCTTGGATGGAAGCTGAACCTCTGAATCTGCTGTTCCAAAGAAATATTTGCATACAGGCTCCATTTTGCTGAACGTTTTAATGGATCTTCTCAGAAAACCAAACCCTAGTTTCCACGAAAAGAGAGCAGGAGTGTTGAAAAGCTTATTTTCTGTGTATTAATTGTGTTTTGATTTCCCTCAGTGTCTGTTTAGAGTCGGGAAGGAAGGGGTGTGTTGAGGCAGGCAGACAGACAGATGGATGATAGCTGCTATCTCTGAAAACATTCTCATCTTTCTTCTATCATCTCAGTCTCTCTCTCTCTCTCTCTCACACACACACACACACACACACACACAATTAAAGCAATGGTGAACTGAGATATGTTCATTTTATACCTCAAAAGGAATTCACACAGAAAATCCCTCAACTGCCTGTCAGCGAGGATTTTTTTCGGATTATCATTGCGTCAGATTGTTTGTATTTTTTCCTTCTATGTACGTTTCTGCTCATCTCCACCCCATCAGTTCCTCCATCTCACCACCCTCCTCCCCTTACAGTGTCTTCAAATAAAGTCCTGGACTGAAGACAGAAAGAAATCTTTTAGATTTACTTCAGCCGGAACAGTTTGATAAATCAAGGAAGGATGACGCTCCCAAAAAATGCAAACATTTGCTGTTTGTTTGTCGCTGTGTGTGTGTGAGATAAAAAAGAAAAAGGAGGAGGCCAAGCTCAGGTCTGCCTTTGTGAATTAACTCTTTCCTCTCCTCCTCTCAGGGCTCTGGTGTTAATTGTCCACGGGGCCGGGGAGCATTCTGGGCCGTACGATGAGATTGCACAGAGACTGAAGGAACTGTCCCTGCTGGTATTTGCACACGACCACGGTGAGTCACAAACACATTACGTTACATTACATGAATGCGATTACACCTACACTCATGGTTGCCCTTGTGTTCATCCGGAGTTCAGACATAGAATAGCTTGTGCATAGCTTCAAAGAAAGCCCATCATCCCCCTCTCTGCAGTAATGGGTCTTGTTAATTGTTGAGTGAAGGAAGCCTGTTAGGGAAGATTAATTAGGCTCGGTGGTACATTGCTCCATTGTTCTTCAGCAGTGCCTCTGTGTGCGTAAGTGTGTAGGTGGTGCGCTTTTAATGCACTGTCAAGGAAAACTTCACAAGCGTCAGTTTGAAGTGTGAATGAAACTTCTGGCTCTGTTCAGGTTTCAGCGAAACTCTGTCGTGCTGACACCTCAGCACTGGGGGAACTGGTTCTGAGCTCAGACAAGAGACCAGTTTAGGTTTGTAGCCAATTCTCATGGCCAGAGTGAATAACTCTTAGTAGTTAATGGTTTAGCATCTTGTTCAAGATTATGTCAAGAAAAGCTCCCCAGATTCTTTATTACAGTTAGAGAAAAGTGGATAAAAGCTTACAAGTAATAGAGATATGCCTTCCTCGGAGGGCTGAAGCTGCCATAGTACACGTAAGGCTGCATTTACATCAAATAAACACCAGTCCTCCCATTTATTAGAATGTGGGTAGTGTGTCTAGGCTGCAACAGTGGGGCCACACGGGTTCCTGAAACCATGGCTGCCTGTGGCAAAAAGTTAAGACAGAATCAACTTTTGGAGAAATGCAACCTGATGGCACGTTGCAGCGACTGATCACATACCCACCGATGAGACCGGAAGAAAGTCCAGGGGAACAAGTAATGCAATCTCTTTCTGTCGTTAAATAATACTAGTCCATACCCATTGAGTACAGCATACCATACCATGACTTAGTCATAACAAAAATTAGAAGAAAAAACAAACAAACATTCGGCCACAGGGGGAGCCACAGTGATTGGTTGCATTTTAGCCATTTTTAAGAATTTTTCTGTTGTTATAGCGCCACCCAGTTGCCAATTAGAGTTAAATTTCTCCAGTCACCTTGAGGCGTCCTGTTCTACATATCTACCAAGTTTAGTAAAAATCGATATGGCAGTTAGGCCTAGATAAGAAATTAGCTCTCTAGCGCCCCCATTTTGTTTGATGGGGTCAATAATGGAGGGGTCCCCTCAGATTATGTGTGGTCATATGCCTACAAAGTTGCGTGGTGATCGGTGAAACCCTTGAGATGTTATACACCTTTATGTGATGAACTTTTGCCAAGAGGGAACTTTAGATATTGGTCCCTAGATTATGTTCACCGAGTTTCATGCAGATCGGTCAAACTTCCTAGGACGAGATCGATTTGAAATGTTTTTAAAAAAAATTAAAAATGGCGGAAAATCTATATAACCGGAAGTTATGGGTTCTTGAGAGAAATTTGTTCCTCATGAGGAGAGGCATCTCTGTGCAAAGTTTCATGTCTCTACAACATACGGGGCATGAGATATGTCCATTCAAAGTTTGCAATTTCAATCGGTTGCTATAGCGCCCCACTTTGGCCAATTGATGTAATATTGCTTCATTCGCATCCTCCCATGACCCTCTACCACTGTGCCAAATTTCACATGGATTGACCAAGTCAGTGAGGAGAAAAATGTGAAACAGACACACAGACACACAGACAGAGTTTTCGTCATTATATAGTAAGAATGTATTGACAAGCTCATGTATTAACAGCTCATGTGTACTATCCAATAGAGAAGAGCACTTACAATGTCTGTGTGCATGCACGTGTCTGTAAAGATACTACAGTATAGATAATGAAAAGGGATTCTACAGACCTTTAATCCAACATAAACAAACTTACCGAAGACAAGTACTCAGTCCCTGCAATTGGCTCTCTATAGTTCGTTTCCCCCCTTCACTCCCTTACAAACGGGCCATTTACTCTAAGTGACAGTCCCACACAGCCACACAACCCTGGAGCTAATCACCATAGTGCCAGGAACAGAAACTTGTAACAAATAATACGATCACAAATTACAATCAAAAGGATGCTAATCAGACAATTGACATACGTTGATGTACAGCTGTTAATGGTGTTATGATGGACTTTTTTGCCATCATAAGGTTGAAATTTAGTTTTTAGCCACACTAACAGCACGGCTGTTTAGAGGTCAGTTAGTCAGTCAGTCAGTCCACAACTTAAGTTTAGACTGAAATACCAACATGTGTATTGGATATTGGATGGATTGCTGTGAAATGTAGTACAGACAGTCATGGTCCGCACAAGGGTTTAAGTGGTATACCATGAAACTGCATGGTATGAAACTTGATGGTTATCATACCATGTGCATTTGCCTATCTACAGTGTTGAAAAAGAAATGCAGGCAGAAGGAGAATCGCACCTGCACTTACGCATCACCTTTCTCCTTGACCGCCTGTCAGACATTTAACACATACTTCCATTTAAAAAAATGCTTTCAAGTCTTCTTGAAACCCTGTTTTCATTTCTTTAAGGGTCATTGTAACTAATAAGAATAGGGGCAGTGGTTAGCATTGTCGCCTCACAGTGAGAGGATTCCTGGTTCAAACCCAGGGTGGGGGAGCCCTTCTGCGCGGAGCTTGCATGTTCTCCCCGTGTCAGCGTGGGATTTCTCTGGGTACTCCAGCTTCCTCCCACAGTCCAAAGACATGCAGGTTAATTGGTGACTCTAAATTGTCCGTAGGTGTGAATGTGAGCATGAATGGTCTGTCTCTGTCTCTCTATGTTTCGTCCCTGCGATAGTCTAACGACCTGTTCAGGGTGTACCCTGCCTCTTGCCCAATGTCAGCTGGGATAGGCTCCAGGCCCCCCGCGACCCTCAAGAGGATAAGTGGTTCTGGAAATGGATGGATGGATAGATGGATGAAATTGATAGATGATATTTAGTATAAACAGTCATGCCCACCTCAGGGTAAATTGTAATAACCAAAATACTTACCTTTATTTTCAAATATCTGCAAAACTAAAGACAATCCCATCATCCTCAGCTGTACTTTGTGTTTAGTGCAGATTAGCAAAGATGACCAGCATGTTTTTTTTTCAACTGATATAACTAACAAAACCTCCCCATGTTTCACCGTTTGCTGTTTTCCCAACTATATGTTCACTTTGAACGTGAAATGTCCATGGGCTCAGAATACAATACTGGTTACACAGAAAGAAAGGAAGGCATAAACATGCATGAAGAAAGTGTTAGCTTGGTGGTACATAGTAATCAGGTCATGGCATCTCAATGGCAGTGTCATCTCGATTCTGATACATTCCTTCACCTAGGTGCTCTTACGCAGCACTGTTCAGCTGTACTGGTCTTAGATACAGCAGGAATGTGCGAACTCATGTGACAGTGCAACAGTGCCACACTAAAATAACAGCAGTGTGTGTGTTCAGTAAAAATCATCGACAGACAAACAGGAGCGACAGAGCGACAGAGGGCAATAAAGAAATAAAGTCCCAGCTGTAAATGTGGAAATATTTACAGAGGTAGACGTCTCAATAAAGAGCTGGCGGGGATGTGAATGATGAGGATGACTGAGGCTGCTCACACAGGAGCAGTTTATTCAGTGACTCGCTGTAAAATGTCACACAGTTAAATGGAAAATACTGAACTGGAACAAGTCCCTGTAGACACTAGTTTTCCATCTATCTATCGCTCACAGATACACACACACTCACACATGCACACATGCCTCGGGCAGCCCCTGATGAGTTCAGCAGTTGAAATCTTTCACTTATTCTTCCTCTGTCACACTTTCTTCTGTCTCTCGTGTGTTTCTTTCTTATTATAGGGCTTTTAGGTCTTTTCCTTTCACTGCCTGCACAGACTGGAGGTTTGTTCCATTTGTCACACAATGCAGCTACACTGAACAAAAATATAAAGGCAACACTTTTGCTTTTACTCCCATTTTTCACAGGTTTAGGTTAAAGATGTAAGACTTTTTTTGCACACCAGAGACTTGTTTCTCTCATTTTTTCCCACCATCCAGCTTACAGGTGTGGCATATCAAGATGCTGATTCAAACAGCATGATTACTACACAGGTGTGCTTTGGGCTGGTCACAATAAAAGGCCATTCTGAAATGTGCAGTTTGATCACACAACACAGCGCCACAGATGTCACAAGTTTTGAGGGAGCGTGCCATTGGCATGCTGACTGCAGGAATGTCCACCAGAGCTACTGCCTGTCAAATAAATGTTCATTTTGCTACCATGAGCCATCTCCAATGTCATTTCCAGGAATTTGGCAGTACATCCAACCATCCTGGCATCTACAGACCACATGTAGCCATATGAGCACATGACTTTCAGACTCAGCATCTTCATATCTGTGTCTGGTCTCAGATGATCTTGCAGGAGAAGAAGCTGGATGTTGAGGTCCTGGGCTGGCTCACTAGAGTGGCTGGATGTACTGCCAAATTAATGGAAATGACACTGAAGACGGCGTATGGTAGTGAAATGGACATTCAGTTCATGGGTGCCTGCAGTCAGCATGCCAACGGCACGCTCCCTCAAAACTTGTGACAACTGTGGCATTTTGTTGTGTCATCAAACTGCATATTTTAGAGCGGCCTTTAATTGCTACCAGCCCCCAGGCACAACTGTGTAATCATCATGCTATTTAGTCAGAATCTTAATATGCCACCTGTCAGGTGGATGGATTATGGATTATGTTATTATTTAACAAATTTGTGAACAACATTTGACAGAGATAAGCCTCCTGTGTGCAGGGAAAAGGTCTTTGACAGAAGTGTTGTGTTTATAGTTTTGTTCAGTGTATTTATCAGAGAGCAACCTCCAAATATGGCATGGTGGTTAACCAACTTAAAATTCAACAGCAAAACACCAACCTTACAGCTGAAACGCATGAAACATTTTGGCTGTCATAGAATGTGGATACAGAGGTGTATGCATATCCCTTGATGTGCAAAAAAACCCCTCATATTGAGGCAGACATTTCATAATCAAGCAGTGAATATTCATGATGGGTTGTTGGTGAGAGGCACAGATAACAGAAGACAGGACCAGACTAATGCTGCCTGGTGATGCTCAAATCATGTTTGTTCTCTCAATATATTATAGGAAAATAATGGAATTTTGACAATTAATTAGATCGGTGCTTGCGGAGTTTCTGAATTCATCACTCTGTGCAAAGATTGTTTTTCCTACAACTCTGACTGGATTAGAAAGAGCTTCCCCAGCAGGCCATTATCAGGACAGAAATATTCGTTTTTTCGTTGTTTGATTGAGTTTATTTCGGTGAGAGATGACACTGCACACACCATAAAACAGCCATCATTTGTACCATTATAATTGCAGAGTACTTGAAAAATCATGAAACTCATATCCATTAAAATGTTTGTCAGCATCCCATAGCATCACATTACACAGACTCTAAATGTTTCACATTATTACAGCTGTGTTTTACTATATTATCATTCCATAGATAGTTGCCAAAGGAGGAGTTATAATTGTTGACAAATACATTAATAAACACTTAAATCTACTTACAATTTTATTGTAGTGTGTTAGAAACCGTTAGTCAGTGTTTACATATTACTTGTAAGTACTAAATAGGGGTTATATATATTTTTTGTATACATTTTGGGCTAAAATGACAACTTGGTGATATTTTGGAGAATAAGGATTTAGGGGAATCTATTGGCAGATATGGAATACAGTATTCATAGCTGTGTTTTCATTAGTTTCTAATCACCTGAAAATAAGAATCATGTTTTTGCTACCTTAAAATGAGCCATTTGGATCTATATATGAAGCGGGTCCTTTTCCACAAAGTCGGCCATGTTGTTTCACCATAGCCTAGAATGGACAAACCAAAAACTGGCCTCAGACAGGGCCATTCACGTTTTCGCATCAGCCAACGTAGTTCTCCTACATGCTTGACACACAGGAGACGTTTCAGTTGGTAGCAATCTACAACCTCTCCACTAGATGCCACTAAATACTACATAGTGGACCTTTAATGAAAAAATAATCAAAGATTTAACAGAAATGAAAATAATCATGAGTTGCTGCCCACATTCTCTTATACCATGTAAATCATTATCACAACTCGACAGTGGGCACCCATGGTTACTGCTTAATGCTTCTAGGATTCAGTCTGTTGCTCTGGATATGGTCTGGTTAAAAATCAATTATTCGCCTTTTTCTAATGTATCAGCCCACTTGTATGTTACCACAATTAATCTTACTCCCGATGCATATATGATGAGTCAACTAGACTGTCACTGTGTCATAATTAGGGCTGGGGAATATATCGATAACATATCGTTAATGTGATTTGAGACTAGATATTGTCTCAAATTTAGGCTATCGAAAGTGTTGTCTTTTTGTGGTTTCAGGCTGACTTGCAGTAAAGTGATGTAGGTTTCTCAACTCACCAGATTGTTCTATCATTCGTCTTCACCCACTTAGTCATTATATCCACATTACTGATGATTATTTATCAGAAATCTCATTGTGCAAATACTTTGTGAAAGCACCAATAGCCAACCCTTCAATATCGTTGCAATATCAACATAAGGGTATTTTGTCAAAAATGCCATTGTATTTGAATTTCTCCATATCACCCAGCCGTAGTTATCATCAACCCTGAAATCCAACTGAGTCATTACCCAGAGAATCCTAGTGTGAATTTGCAATAGCTGTGACCTCCATGCCCAATTACAGCATCCTGGGGCAAAAAATGTTGGCTGACCGACTGACCGCCTGCCCAACCAATCAATACATCGAACTACAGAGCTGCTGGTCACAGCTATAAACAGTCATATCAGGACTGTTTGCATGTTGCAGCTCCTCCAGTTGTACAGCAGTGGGGGGGGGGGGGTTCTGCAGTGTTTATGTGTCTCTATGTGTAAGCTGTATGAAGTGTGCTCATGTGTGAACATCTTCTCTGTGTGTTCGAGTAATAACAAAAGATGCGGACTCAGTAGAGTGTGAGGTCATTGATCCGACGTGGGAGGACACACAATGTGCATCAATCTGAAGTTTGCAGTGCTCCATCACTCACTGGATATTGATTTCCACGCTGCGATGATTGCTTCAGTATTGACGAGGAGAAAAAACATATAGCGTCAAGACATCCTCGCATATACGGAGCACATACACAGTGTTTATAAATACACACATGCACTTAAGATTACAGAGCGAGAGCGGGAAGGTGTGAGCTGCACATGTTGTGAATGTTTAGGAGCTCGGCGGTGTTATTGGTTCAATGGTCGCCATGGCAACCTGCCTCACCTCTCACCCACTGCTGCAGAGAGCTCGATGAGAAGATGCACACACACAATCTATATATGCACACACACATACATATTCATATTTATTCCTCCTCTCCATCTGTCAGTCAAATTTCTCTCTCCTGTCTCTGTGTCTGTCTCTCCTCCTCTCACCCCTCCTCCTTCACTTCTACTTTCCCTCCATTTTCTCTTGACTTCACTTTTCCTTCGTCTTCCTTTCTTTTCCTCCTCTTCGTGTTCTTTTCCTTACCCCTTTATCTGTCCTCTATCCCACTTTTTTCTCTCCCTTCCTTCTTGCTCTCACCCTAATCCAGGTGTACATGCCAATTCCCTTATTTGATCGTGCCTTGCTCCTTTAGACCGGATGTCGGAGGTTGGAGCTGGGAATGACATCACACTCAAGTTGACCGCAGTCAAGTACAACAAATCAAAAAGACAGACTATAAAAGTAATGAACACAGCTGCTGTGGCGTCACAAATTGGTTTGTGGAGTCATGTTTTGAAGCCTGAAGAACTGAATGTATTTGGGCGAGAGGGTGGAGCTGTGGAGGAGGGATTGATCTCACTGAGAAGCTGCAGCTTATACTAATTATGTTTTACTTTAAGCTGTAAATGTGTGAGTTATATACAAATTTACCCCCCGAAATTAGCTCTAGAGTCTAAAACCATTTTTTGTGCCTTGCTGTCAACATGTTTATTTCTGCTGTAAAGTTTGACATTTTAACGTAGGGGTTAATCAAAATTGACTGGCTTCAAGGGCCAGCCTCAAGTGGCTGTTTTTGGCACTTATATGTTGGCTTCATTTTTCAGCCCTGGACGCTGCCAAGTTGTTATTAGCAATAACCAGTTCAAGCCAGGTTAGCCATTGTTAGCATTATCAGTTGGTAACAAAGAATTATGCTGTATTTTCCTCATGCAAACACTGTAGCAACACATCCAGACAGAAGTTGGACAGTGCTGTGTGTACAAATTATTTAATGAGATACGAGCAAGACAGTGCTAATAAACTGTATATTACTGCAGGTTTCACTTCTGTTGATGCTCAGAGCAGCCATATTTGATTTTGAGGTCAGGGTTGCTGAGGCTCCTCCGACTCCTGAGTTGGAAATCCAACTTCAGTGGGCATTCCACTTAAAATTTCCATCTAGGAACTCGGAAATTTCAACTTACCAATGTAAATGGAATGCACCAAGAGTTGCAGTCAATCCAAACGAAGATCCAAGGGCATAGGTTTCATTTCAACACTGAAGGGGACACATATCAAACAGGGGTTCTTTGCTAGAAAATTTTTAGTGTCAAACTTCCTGCATTCTTGAAAAGTTTATGCACCAATATGTGCCTTTTCTGCATTAATTAATGGTATAATTGTATTTAATTTCATCAAAATAATAGTGTTTCTATTGGTGGGGACAAATGCACATGTTCTGCATACTGAGGGGGACATGTCCCCTGTGTTCCCATGTCAAGATCTAAAATGGGGTACAAATGTCTCACACTGTCTGTCTCTGTAAGTCTAAGTAAGGTGTTCATTTGCATTTTTGTTTAGTCTGCATGTTGTCTTTTTATTTTGTATCTCTGAGCTGTGATAATTTCACGGCAGCCTGCTAAATAAGTGACTGTGATTCTCACTTTAACCCTGGAAAAGAAGAAGTGTTTGCCACAAGTATTGTTTTCTTTTTCAATTTGGAGGTATTAAAAAGGTCTCAATAAATATCTTGCAGCAGTATCAGTTTCCTCACAGCAGTCTTTTCTTCTGCTTCCCTCTCTCTCTCTACACAGTTGGCCATGGTCAGAGTGAAGGAGAAAGGATGAACATCAAAGACTTCCAGGTTTATATCAGAGACTCCCTGCAGCACATTGACCTGATGAAGTCCCGCCACCCAGACCTGCCCATCTTCATCGTGGGTCACTCCATGGTAGGATACTCCCCATGCTGTATTTTGCTGTAATTGCAGCTTAAATTGTGGGTCAGTCTTTGGGTTATGTTTTTATTTTAATCACATTATTGTTTTTCAAATAATAGCTCTGAGGATATTGAAACGTTGGCTGCCGTCTGGGTTTGTTTGTTTTGTTTGGTGTGAAATGACATTATATTGTTTCAGAGCTCTCGGTACAGTGTGCTCGACTCAGACACACAGAGAGACAGCTGCATGAAATTGAAGGGCAAGCCTGGTTCAAGCACGGGAAAGAAAAATACTGAGATCAGTGTTGAGAGGTTTTCTTCGACATCGTGATATTCAAATGGAAAAAATGGCACACGCTCTTCTTTCAGTATGAAGTGGTTCATGTCCCAAAATAGTCAGCCATGAAAAACCAGAGAGCATGGTGTTCTGCATGAAATGTGACGGCAGAATAACAATAGAATCAGGGGGTTTTAATATTACTGGCAGTTTCATGCAGTGAAATGCTTTGACACCCTGCTTTTAATAATATTTTCTTTGGTTTGGCTTGGACAGAAGCACCACACAAATCATTTCTGTACAAGGAACAGATTTCACCTCCACCTGCAGGGAAACAGTTCAGTGAAGGTTTGCTAAGTTGGCTCTTCTCACTAAACTTACCTTTTACACAGTGACACAGATTCTGCACAGCCCGCAGCAGCTGCTGCTGCTGGTCACTGAAAACCTCCAACAGAGCAGTTGCAGGTTCAGTGACCTGCTCAAGGGCAATGTGGGTGTTTTTGTTGATGGAGAACAGACAGTGTGCCAGTCCAGGAGTCTAGATAATGTGTAATGCTCTAGTGACCTTATGTATCGATACTGTGTTCACCTTTATCCTCAATTTCAGGCTTCCAAGAGTACAAACTATGGGAAATACAGCAGTAGATGTCCTAATGTTTTCTATGTACATAAATGTTTTCTTCAGTGGGAATAATATAGTATAATTTTTAGATTCTATTGATTATTTTTCAATGAATTGGTTCATTATTTAGTTTAGTCTTACATTTTGGGTCCTACACTTATTTGCTCTCTGAGTTACACAAGAAGATCAACATCACTCCCATAAATTTGTACCTGCAGCTGGCTAGCTTAGCTTAGCACAATGACTGGAAAAGCTAGCCTGACAATGTGCAGTGGTTATAAAATCCACCAACCAGCATCTCTGAAGCACATGCTAACTAGAGAGCTTTACATGTGCTGGTAAGTGGATTGTTACCTACGCAAAGCGCTAGGCTAGCAGTTCTTCCCTGTTTACAGTCTTTGTGCTAAGCTAAGCTAATAGGTTGTTAGGTGTTGTTGTATATTTAATGTGTGTCTTCTCACTGAACCGTAACCATATTTTACAAAATGTCGAACCTATTTACCAAATTTATCACAGCCAAAGGTATCATCTTCAAATAGCTAACTTGTTTTGTCCCTCTAACATTCCAAAACTTCAACATATTAAATTTCCAAAGATGTAAACAGACAAAAGCACCAGATCCTTACAAGCAAGTGTTTTGGCCCTTAAACAATTAATCAGTTATCAAAATTATTGTAACTATCTCTGCTTGAACAACAGTAGCAGTGACTGTCTTGGGTAGGCTATAGAAAATGTGATGGTACATCACCCCATGTGGGACAGGGGTGCCATCTTCTGAGAACTGCACTCTGTTACTCTCTGTTATCTCTGTTATTAAGGTCTATGCACTCAGTCCAGAAACTAGATTGTTCACAGTATGTGAATGGAGGAAGTGCATCGTAGTTTGTTATTCAACCATGTGTTGATAAGTCACATGGTTCTATGTTGTTCAGATTAATTAATTTGTCCAAATAGCTGCTTGATCACTGTAGCAGGCACTGGTAACACAGCGTGATTCTTATAAGAGGATCCCCCATCCAAAACAATTTAACACAAAGTGACGTCAACTTCACATTCTCTATTTTCACCACAGTGAGGTTGCCAGGCAACCAGCACTACAGCCAGATGAACTTAGCACAGAAGCATTGTTTTCTTCAAAAAATATTTTCAACACGTCACTCCTTTTTAAATCATAAATTGTGTTTTTACAGTCAGTATATATATATATATATATATGGATTTTCCAGTCTTAATGCTAAGCTAAGCTAATGGCCTCCTGACTTTGCCTCCATACGGTAATTCATTCATTCATTCAATTTATTCATTCATGCATTATCTGCAACTAATTGTCATGGGGGGTGCTGGAGCCCAGGTGTCACTGAGGGAGAGGCAGGGTACATCCTGGACAGGTCTGACATATAGAGACAGAGAGCTACAGAGCTACAGACAATTTAGAGTCACCAGTTATCCTGCATGTCTTTGCACTGTGGGAGGAAGCTGGAGAACCTGGAGAAAACCCACGCTGACATAAGGAGCTCATGCAAACTCCACATAGTGCTAATCACTGAACTACTGTGCCTTTAAATGTAATATTCAGCTACATGTAGGGTGCTGCATGCTGTTTTGTGCAGTAAACATGTTTTAACATGGAACAAAACAGTTACAAATACAAACCCATATCTAATGAATTATTAATTTCCCATTTGCTTTAACAGAGTTTACTATAGGGAATTAAAATTGTGTTAAATTCAGTGCAGACAGCATCAAACAGTCTTTGAAGAGTCCAAAATATGGCTTTATGAAATATACAGACACAGAGTCCAACCAGAATTTTCATTGAGAAAAATTACATAACGTCTGGACACAAAAAGCATCAAGGCTGGCCAGGGAACTATTAACCGATAAGTTTATTCAGTTTTTCACAGAGCTGCATTCAACAGCACAGCCTCTCTCACTGTTGTGCTCAGTGACCCACTAACTCTTAGTACAGCTAACAGAACACAAACGGTATTGATGAGTTATGTAATAAATGATTACTCTCAAGTCCAGTCAGCTTGTACTCACATTTAATCATTTGTGTCAGATGAACAAGCTGCTCAGATTCTGTATTCATACAGAACACACAAATGTTTTGATGTGTGCAGTTATATCTAGAGTGCAGTATCTTATGTTGTATAAGGAAGATGCTAACTTCACTGTACACAAAACAAGAGCTTCTCTGAACAGAGTGTAGTCTGCACCACCTGCGTAAGTCAGAGGCATTTCAGGACAAACACAAATATAGTTTTTAGTATTTTTGCTCACAGCTGGAAGAGACTTTTCAAGCAGAGAACACAGAGGATAAATGCAAATTCATTACAGAACTGCTCTGCCATGAGACGCACAGAGCCTTGTTATCTCTCTGCACAGCAGCGATTCAGTGGGCTTGTTGGATTCCAGAAAAACAAAAGGGTTTTTTAGGCAGATATGACGAGCTTTGAGGAAAAACGAGATCTACATTGTTTGCAAATATATATATAGCTAGTGGAAAAGTATTTAAAGATGTAGTGTGTAGGATTTAGTGTCATCAAGCAGCGAGGTTGCAGATTGCAACCAGGGAAACTTCTCTCATCTGTCAAGGTTGTAGGAGACCCACCATGACACATGAAAACATGAATGGCCCTCTCTAGAGCCAGCGTTTGGTTTGTCCATTCTGGGCTGCTGTAGAAACAACATGGCGAACTCTGTAGAAGAGGACCCACTCTGTATGTAGATGTAAACAACTCATTCTAGAGTAACAAAAACACAGCGATTCTTTTTCTCAGGTGATTATAAATAAATGAAAACATAGTTATAAATATTATATACTATTTCTGCCAAAAGATTCCCCCAAATCTCACAAACTGGGCCTCTAGCACACTTTCACAGACTGGATCCTTTATACGTTCCATACGTCCAGGTTTTAATTTCAAAGTAACCCAAGGTTTATCACGTTAAGTGGCTTTATTAATGTTAATAAATACTTAATTAATACTTCAGGACAGTAATAAGTCATTAATAAGAGCAAATGTGGCCTTTACATGGTGTGTGTACTCCCTCAGCACAACACTAGCTTTTACTTATAGTTAGCTTTTTAAATTAATTTTTAGGAAAGGCTGTTCTCATGCACTGTTCGTACTTATACCTACAAAAAGTAATGCACTATAAGTTGTATAACTCATGTAATCATGAGGAAGGAGGCTGTGATCATGTGACCTATACACTACAGGCTGTCATCCATCATATGACTGGAGCACTGAAGTCAGGTAATATAAAGAGCAAAGTCCACATAGGGAGGCGGTCTGGATGGCAGACAGGTCAAACAAACACAAGATTTTAATGTTGAGTTCATGTCACGTTACAATGCCAAACCATGATGCTCTTTCTAAACCTGGCCTAAAGGGTGCTAATTCATAAGATATTATATGAACTGTGTGTTTTTGTAAGACATCATACAAATGGTTGTGTGAGAGTACATTTGGGAAGACCTGTTACCTGTTTGGAAAGAGCTGCAGAGCATCTGGAACAAGATCCATTGTTTAATAGCTTGTCAGTCCCTGCAGAAATTCATGATCATGTAATCACAAGAATTAAAGATATTCCCGTTTTCTCAAACCCCTACAAACATGTTCAAATTGGAAGAATGCATGCAATCATACCAATCACCAAACTGTTTCTGCATGAAAATCATCTCTGTCAGAACCATTTAATAATGACTCACTAACACTTTCACTCTCAGACTTGTAAAGAGAGAACCCCATTAGATTTCATCATTGACTTTGTTGTCATCTGTGTATGCAGAATTAATGGCTTATTAGAAAGTGAGAAAAACATGAGTGCTTAATGGATTCACCACATCATTTAATGATTAGTGTGCGTATGAGGCTGTTTGCTATCACGATTGAACGTCTTTTGTTTGGATTCAGTGCTCCAATCCTCTGTTTAACATTGTTTTTACTACCCAAATATTGTTATCTGCTGTGGAGCCTGTAGGCTGAGTGTTTTACATAAAACTGTCTTCCACTGAAGACACTCGCGTTAAATTTGAGTCTGTTTTTGCAAACCTTTTATGGCTCATTCTTTACTGTACAGCAGCACTGTATTTATATAAAGACTG